GGCGGGCCCAGCGCGCGCGCCGTCACAGGCGGCGGTGGAGGCGGCTCCGAGCACAGGCGTCATTGGCGGCGGCGGCGGCCGCGGCGGCAGCGGGGAGTGGCCGCAGCTGGCAGACTTGCCGAGCCTCCCGCCCGGCTCCGACGAGGTCGGCGCCGCGATCGAGGGCGCGACAGCCGCGCTGGACGCGGCCGGCGCGCCCGCGGCCCTCAAGGGGCGCGCGTTCCGCTTCATGCTGTCCCTCGGCGGCGGGGCGCGCGGCGGCGAGCGCGGCGTGGCGGCGCGGCGGCGGCTGCTGTACGCGTACCGCATGCTGCGGCCGCTGTGCGCGCGGCGGGACGCTGAGGGGGTGACTAAGGTCATGGAGCTGCTGGTTGAGGAGGAGGCGGGCGCGTGAGGGCTGGGGGAAGGGGAGGGCAGGGGTTAGCGAGGGGTGAGCGCCACGGGCCAGGGGCTGGCCCCGCCCCTGCGGTTGCGTTGTGCGGGGCAGCGGGGCGCCCGCTGCCGCTCGATCAGATTAGAGGCTTTGATCGCTGGGTTTCGCGGGATTTGGTTGCCCATAGGAAAGTGAGAAGGCATTTGCGATGATTTTTTTCGCGGGATGACAAGGAGGAGGGGCTTGATGGCTGCTCTCCCCGCCTTGTTCTGGACCCCCAGCAGCACTGGGCCATGCGCATCCCTTCGCAATCCAGCGGACGCAACAACCCTTAGCAGCACCTGGTTTAATGATTGCTGGCAGTCTGGTCTTGCGCTGCCATCCCATTCTGGTGCAATCCTGACAAGGGTTTGAATTCCATTCAAGCATGTGAATGTAACCAGCTGGCATTGGCGCCATCCAATCGGGCAATGCAGCTTTGAGGTGGTCCAGCGGAGGGCAACTTCTGTCGGAGTGCTCCGACCATTCTATTGAGGCCTGCTCTTCAAAATAAAGGTACTGTAACGTGCCAAGCCTCAAGTGCCGCCCCCGGGTGTTCAGATGCTCGGTGCAACTTGCACGCCCATCCTGCGGTAAAAACCGGACTTGACAGCAAGGCGCCGATCTGTGGGGCGGTCAGGTGCACCCACCGGAGCTGCACCAGGCACCACACACAACTATATTTCTGGGTTTTTGTCGCATGCTTGGTTGTTCTGCAGTGGCAGGGCCACAGGGGCCACCAGCTGTAATAATGTGAGGACAGTTTCCAGGTGGGTAGCTGCGGGACACCATGGCGCCTTTGCGTTGTCATGCCCTGCAGCCACCCTCCACACTCCCCTACTTCTTGTGATTCAACGTCGAGCATCTTACTCCTTGCATTTTAACCATGGCCCGTCTCGCTATTCTGCTGGTGCTGTGTCTGGTGGCCGCGCCACTGGCCTTTGCAGACGCTGAAGAGGACTCGCACGTGGTGACACTCACAGCCGACACCTATGACGACGCGGTGAGCTTGCGTTTTGGCGGTGCGTTCCGATCTGGTGATGCAAGCGGCTGATTTCTGCTGTCTCCTGCCGCAGATCAATGACGGCAAGGTCTACTTTGTCAAGGTGAGGTGGCAGGCGCGATCAGACTCCTGATGAGTGCGCAGCGCATGGGCACCGCGCTGCGTGCTGGAGCGGCGCTTACGGCACACCCAAGCACGCCCCCGCCCCCTGCCCCCCGCAGTACTTTGCCCCCTGGTGCGGCCACTGCAAGCGCCTTGTGCCGACCTGGGCAGAGCTGGCGTCGGCTTACAAGTCGCATGACAGCATCGCGATCGCCAAGGTCGACTGCACCACGGACCGCGACGTGTGCACAGACGCAGAGGTGCGTCCTCCCACGTGGCCGCAAACACGACAGTGCTGCCGGGGATAGAGGCAGCCCATGCAGACGACCAAAGGCAGGGGTCCGTGCGGGCAGAAGCCTGGCCGAAGCAGAGCACCCCGCTGTTTCACCCAGTGCAACGGGCGGCCCGATACTCACATTGACGGTTGAGTGGCCATGCCGACGTCATCGCGTCGCGACCCCGACTCTTGACACGTGCGTCATGTTGATCCACGATCCTCAGATCAAGGGGTACCCCACCCTCAAGGTGATGCACAACGGCGAAGAGGTCAAGGCCTACCGGGGTGAGCAGGGCAGGAGGGCTGGGGGTGGAGTGAAAGCACCGATCAGAAACCAGCAGATCGGCCGCGGGCAGGGGCCGTCAGGGCTTAAGCAGGGGTCAGGGCTTAAGCAGGCGTCGGACAAATGAATGGTGGGGCCGGCATCAGCGACCCGCACCGGCGCTCATGCGCGGCAGCAGGCCGGTGTGCTCCCCTGGTGGACGCTGCAGAAGCGAAGCCGCCGACTCACTGCACTGTCTACGCGGGCTTCCATCCGCTGACACACACCCATGACTGCACCACGCACCACCCGCCAAGTCAGCACGCCGCCCCGCAAGCCATGTATGTCGCCGCGCGCGCCCAGCAAAGCCCGCCCGCTCCTGCGGCCGCCCCACCCGTGCGT